CAGTAAGAAATTTCACAGACATTTTGTTCATGAATGTTTGTTCCTAATTTATTTACTTTTTTACGGGTACCCGGCCCGGAAAAATGGAACCGGGTTTTGAAATCGACGGGCGGGTACCCGGCACAGGCCTAATGTTTGGATTGGCAGATGTTGTGTGTGATAAGGGTTCATAATTGTAAACACTATGCCTTTCATTTCCTTGTGAATTGCCTGTACCAGGAAATGATTTTTCTTGTCTTTATGTTATTCATACTTGTATTAGCCTGGCATAGTAAGTCAGATTCAGATCCTGCATAAGGGTAATCAGTGTGAGTGATTTTCATCCAAATTCATTCGTCAGACTGAGTGACACTTTGGTGGTCTGTCCCACAGGTGGACCTATGCAGAGTTCTTCACTCGTTACCGGGCACTGATGAAACCCAAAGAAGTCAATCGCAAAAACGTGCGGGGGACCTGCGAGAAGACACTAGCGAGATTGATACCAGTAAGTCACAGTTACCAGCCTTTCCATTGCATGGATGATTGAGGCTAAGGCTCTGGATACTCACTGTAGTGTCAGTGTCAAAAGCAAAGCCATAGCCACAAAATGCAAGCTATAGCAAATACCCTCACATGTGTGCCTTAACATATTGGAGATTTTTTTTTATCAAATGTTGTTAAACATTCAGTTTTTTCCTTTTTTTTTTTTTTTGAGGTGTCTTTGACATGTCAGAATAAAGCCCCTGGAATTAGACTGCCTTTCACAAGTAATTTTTCTAACATTGTTGAATAATGCACTGAGTCCAAAGTTGGAAAAGTACAGTTTAGATTATGATTTCTGATTTTGTTTTCTCCTTTCTGGCATAATTTGATGAGCACTGTATCTTCATCATTTTTGAGAACTTCTTATTTATTTGACTAATTGTGTGAAGAGCAATAAATTTCACTCCATTATGTGATGGTCTGCTATCTGGGGGGACTTAATAGGAATATTAAAAAAGGCAGTCGTTCATTTTACTACTTTCAGAAGAAAGTGCAGTTGTGTCAAAGTTTACACTTGGTCCAAGTAGCAGAATAATCTAAATTGATTCTAAGTCCTTGCTTATTATCACATCATCACCTGGTACTCCTGTGTCAAATCAGTATTGCCCGTGTTAAGCAAATTCGCCACAGTTTATCATGTTTATCTGTAGTCTTCTGTCGGTATGTTCAACAGGGCTTCACAGTATTGGCCCAATGCCATTTAATAAGTACTTCTGAAATAATCACCTTTTCAAACCCGGAAAGACTGACCCCCAGATAAACTTAATCCCCTTTTCCCTTGCTGAGGTTTGGAATAGCTAAGAGTGCATCAGTGTTAATTAAAAGGATACGCGAGGCTTATTGCTTGGACTGATTAGCTGAAGTGGTTTGCTTGTGTGTGGCACTATGACAAAGTTCTGCATACTCATCTTAGTAAAAGACGTGTACTGCCTTGTGATATGTGCCTCTCACCTCCACTGAAGCATATGTGATTTCATTCACTGAGACGATGTCTTTTAAAACTTCTTTTTTCCTCCGTGTCAATTGTGTAAAGTACTTTTACATTGTTCTGGTGGTGAAATACGTGATTTAGATTACTCTGAAGAAAACTGAATCTTTAACAGTTTAAAGTTGTCAAACATTAGTGGTTGATTTCAAAGAACTCACTGCTTTAAGCTTTTACCAACACATGGAATATAAACTTACCATGAGTCTGGGGTGACAGGTCTCTCACATTGCATCAGGTTTTTTCTGTTCCCAAATTTACTGTTAAAGTCCAATATGGATTACCTTGACAGGATCCTGACAAATACCAGTTTGGTAAGACCAAGATCTTCTTCCGAGCTGGCCAGGTTGCCTACATGGAGAAGTTGCGTGCTGACAAGCTGAGAGCAGCCTGTGTCTTGATGCAGAAGACAGTCCGAGGTTGGGTCCAGAAGAAGAAGTACATGCGCCTACGCTCAGCCACTATCATCGTACAGAAGATGGTCCGAGGCTTCTTGGCAAGGAGGTAAGTTGGCACCCTTCCCCCAAGAACGCTGATATTGAGCCAATAGTCTGAGAGACTCTGGACATCTTGTACTACCGTTGCATTAAGCCACATCGGTGGACTATGATGTCACTATGCAGACATCTTTTGGGGATCAAATTCAGTCGCTACCTAAGTGACGTACGTAGCCACGGCACTTCCTCCCGTGTGTGACCTTCTCTGGACCCAGCTCTCACAAAACATTGGCTTTTGGCCAATTTGTTAAAAATTAGTCACCACTGCAGACAGTTGCGTTGAAATGCTAGCCTGCTCTCTGGACAGGATACCGGTATAGTTTCCTGGTGCAGTCATCACACCCCAAAAAAAAGTTGGACGTAATCAACCGTAGTTTTGCAGGAGTGCCTAAAGTCCACACCGTACCTCACAGTTCAGTCACATCTGTTTTTTGGAGTGTAGTTTTGTAATCTTTTTCTGCCAACTCACGGAGTCTTCCTCAGTAATGCCATGGTAGAGGGTACAGTATTTTCCACTGAAACAAGATGGAGGACTTACAGTCACGTCTTTCTGCCACAATCGACAGGTTAACCAGGCACATGCGCCGCACCAATGCCGCTACCTGCATCCAGAAGCGATGGCGGGGTTACCATCAGCGGCAGAAGTATCTCCACGTCCGTCATTCCATCGTCACCATCCAGGCCTTCACCAGAGGCATGTATGGTAGACGGTACTACACCAAGGTGCTTCGCCAAGCCAGGGCCACAACAATACAGAGGACGGTGCGCGGTTGGTTGGCTAGGAAACGATACCACAAAGCAAGGAAGGCTGTGATCCTGCTTCAGTGCTGCACTAGGAGAATGTATGCCAAGAGAGAACTCAAGAAACTCAAGGTAAGCAAACTGTCCTCTCCACTACAAACTTGACCTTACATCCAGGTCAGTTTCACGTTGACCTGGCTCCCACTCATCTTGGCCAGAGGTCAGTTTAAACATGACCTTGGGTTGTACTTAAATTGACCCACTGAACTTCACCCCCTAGTCTTTGGACAGTTCAGGGTCAGATCCAACTTCATCTTTGGTCAGACTCATGTTGACCTTGGGTCAGACTTATGTTGACCTGAGGTCGGGCTTAAGCTGGTCAGTTTGGCTCTTCATCTTGCCATTTATACCTTTTACAGTCCATTCATCACCATTTACATGTAACGTACTACATGCAGGTGACGATGTACAGTTTAATAGGTCAGTTGTCTTAGGCAGATTATGTAAATGCCTTAAATGGGCGCTTAAAATAAAACATGGAATTATGTTAACTTGGTTAGCTATGAGTTACAAAATCAGTTTATTTCCTGTGTGAAGTCAACTGTAACTTTTTATTCTGCATACATGTGGTAGATTTGATGGACAGCCTTGTGTTTCAGTAAACCTCAGAGTAATTTAAGGCCCCTGGATTGGATCAAGTTGTCTCCCAGGGCTTAGGTCCGAACCCTTCTTACCCAGGAAATCATTGGCATGCCTGCCTTCAACCAGGGATGCTGAAAATAACTCAGGTCAGGTTTAAGTTGGTAGGGATCAACTTGAGCTACATGTATATTGGCTAGTTGATGTCTACTGCGTAGCATGGCTAGCTGACAGATGTTATGTACATGTAGGGTTCTTTCTCAAGACTCTGTTGTCAAGGTGTGTGTCAAGCTAGGATTTAGTCTTATTTCCTCCCCCAGATTGTCAAATATCAGGTCTTCACAGATATAAAGCAGCTGTGGCAAAGCCCCCCCCCAAAAAATAATTAATGTGATCTAATGACAAACTGCCCTTGGCCAGAAAGAAAAATACATTATTTACCACATCAAATGTTATCTTGGCTTAACCACAAAGTTATGTTTAGCCTATATTATTTAACGAGGACAACTTGTTGTAATCCACTGAGATAGTCTTTGCATTTAAAAGTGGACATCTAGCTTTATTGGACATCTAGCTTTATACATGGAAATAGTGACATAACCGAACTCTAGAGGTCTGAATTGTCTATTTTGGATGGCAATGAATGCATTGATAATTTGGCCCTAAAAAACATAATTTATTTTTTGGGTTTCAATTTTCACAGTTCATCAATTTCTTGGAAATGCAACATGTAGATACCCATAAAGAGCACTTCAATAGGGTCAAGGTCCAAGGGTGTTATTTGTTGTTATTTTAATTATGTAACCGGGTACATGTAAGTGATAGCATAGCGGCAGATAAAACTGTTTATTTTCAGAGAAATTATCAATCTAAATGTAACATGTGGAAAGAGTGACTTACAGAGATTGGTGGTGTGTTAAATGTCTGAATAGTTGTTAACAGGTGTTTACAGGTTAACGTTTACAAGTCCAATGTACATACATGTACCAGGTACTATACCTGCTTCTTCAGGTGAAATCGCTTCATGTATCACAGACACAAGCATGATCCGCTTGAATCATCATGTAGCTTCTCAGTCCAATTTCGTAATTACTGATCTTTGAGACCTGATCTAGCACAGTCCACCATCATTTGTTCTTGCATGATTCGCAAGTCATCCTCTGCCACACTGAGGCATTTAACAGAGTACACCCTACTCTCTCACCCCTCCACCCTCCCCACCCCAGGGGAGAGATGACTCAAAACCATACCGTTCTGCATCCATGGCTGAACCCCCGTTCAAGTCCCCCTGTACCCATCTTTCTTCCCTTCTCTCGTTTTGACTTCCTCTCCTCAATTCAGCGGCTGTATTTCAGAATGTCAGCTGGATGTCTGGTTCCTTGTGCGAACCCCTATGTGAGTCCTGGATGCTGCACCAGGTGTACGAAATGCATTGAGCATGACCTAAGAATTTGATCTTCACAACAAATTAAAGGACGATCGACGCTCATTTACGATGCCCTTTTTTTAACTTGGGGAAGATGAACAATGTTTGTGCCTGGCTGAAGAGGTACATGTACAAGTTGAAGATGGCTATGACCTCTCAAATTTAGTAAATGCATGGGATCTGTAGAAAGTAAGAACAAGTTTTGGAGAATCAAATGATCTGAACAACTATGTTTGGAAATTTGTTGGGCAATTTGTAGAAGCAATTTGTAGATTCACAAATATTTGAAGTTTATACAATTATCAGATGATTTACTGATGCCAAGGAGAAAAATCGTTTCTACCAGACCTGCCCAAAACTTTGATAGTTTTCTACATTCAGGGATTTCTTTACATTTGTGCCAGTTCACAAACTTTGAAAGACAGTTGTCTGTAAGCTGAAATGCATTCCAGAAAAGAAGGTTTATTGCATGGTCGTGAAGTGTGCATTTTGAGTTTATTTGAAACCCTTGTTTGCATGTGTTAAATAGAAAATACATGTTCATTCTTCAAAGAAACTTTACTTTTGCATCATGGAATTTGTTTGCATGCTGAGTACAAAATTCTGGCTCAGAATACTGATTACTTGAATGACGATTATGCCATCCAAATCTGGTAGAATTGGCTTGTTGCATTTTGGACTCGTTATTCAGAATCATAGGATTACCATAGAGCTTAACTGAGCATTAGCTTGTGTTAAAATGTTGGGAACACATTTTTCATCGGCAGCAAAGCTGGCAAAAAGCTTGAGTCAGAATTTGTTCCGGGGCCCTTGCCTCAACTTCCTCATACAGGGTGATTTCCTGTAGAACAGGACAAGTGGCAGAAATCTCTCCCCCCAAAAGAACCAGGCAGTCTCACTTTAAATGGACTGATTTTTCACACATACTGTATTTGCCATTTGTTTCAGATTGAAGCTCGCTCGGTTGAACACTTGAAGAAACTCCAGAAGGGTATGGAGAATAAGATTATTTCCCTGCAGCAGAAGGTGAATGACTTGGTAAGTTCTCCCTTCGTCACATTAGTTCATTTCCTTTGCAATCTGTTCATTCAGAACTCCAGTGGCAAACTGGAAATTTATGTTTGTGTCACATGCCATGCACATGTGTTACTGTGTACTGCCAATTATGTGTGATAGGCCATTCAGATAAAAGTAATGTAACTGGCATTCTGTCTTTCAACACATCGTCTATATGAAGAAGTTATAGTGGAATGTTCCCTGATCGGCCATTTTTTTTTCTGCCAAATAGGTGCATGTAAGGATGATTTTCAAGGTTGCTGCATGGATAAGATAAGTCCAGGGTATTACTCAACACTCTGGGTGTGCCGCACACATGTATTTTTAGAGTTAGGGGAAATTTTTCTCTTGAATTGTATTTGATCATGAACTCTGATCAAGAAGATTTTTGTCTGCATTGACAAATTGGTTACGTGTCGGATCATCTCTGCGACGGAGCAGATTAAGGCATGTCTCATCCCCCTTACAGCCTCTTTTTGTATGGAGGAAGGAATGAAATTCTGATATAGTTGGTGGGCATGTACTAGGGACATTCATATCTTTGTAGTATATTTTTGATTAGCTGCTTCTAAATAACCTTGTCTTGTTGGCAGTC